AAAACGCAAAAAAATGGCGCTGCCCGCGTAAGAGGAAGCAGCTGAAGGAGCGAATGTACAGAGTCAGAGTCATCTCTTCTGCAAAGGCTTCCATCTGAGCTTGGAAGAAAGACAGTCAAGGTTGAATCTTTAGGAATCAATTCGAGGTTTTTTCACATTCAATTGGCGTGTGCGGCGTAAAATCTTTAGATTGAAACCCTAGGGTTTCGGTTACAGGCAAATGGAGGCGGTGGTAATCGATGCTGGCACCAAGTATCTCAAGGCTGGACCTGCTATCCCAGATCAGGCTCCTTCCATGGTATGGCAGTCCAAAAGTTGTTTTCTTTTTTTGTCTCCCCACTTCCATTTCGGTATTGCTACTTCCTATGAAACAACAGATGGTAATCGGAAGCTTACTTATTGATGGTTACTCAAAGCATTTTCATTTCCAAATTTTAGTTGAGGGTATGTAATTTTCTCAAAGTAATTCTCCAGAAATCTTCACGAGCTCCATTTTTTGCTCCAGAAAATGGTCTACAGTGCGTTTGTCTTTTTTTTTTTTTTTTTTAATATTGTCTTTGGATTAAGTTCTCTAGTAGCTTTATTGTGTTTTGAGTGGGAATGGAATGCAGAATTCAATTTATCTTGATAGGTTTGAGATTAAGCTATTTGAACTGTTTTGGTTATGTATAGATAATTCCTACTCAAATGAAGCGCATGCTTGAAGATGGATCCTCAGCTGATGGTTCCGCATTTGAGGATGTTACTTTTGATCCTGTTGTGCGAGGCTTTATTAAAGACTGGGATGCCATGGAAGATTTGTTGTATCATGTCCTATATACGGCCCTTGGATGGGAGGTGGGAAATGAAGGACAGATATTATTTACTGATCCGCTTTATACTCCCAAGGTTAGCATTTTCTATCTTTCATGATAATCCTTCTCTTCAGCTGTATCTTCTGATTGAAGGAACATGGTGATTGTGTAGTATTCTTAAAATTCATGTTATTGTTCTTGGGGAAATAGACCATGCTGGCTTTTACAAAAAGTGCAGGTCTGGTGTTCGTTTCAGGACCGGTTTTGTTTCCTAGTGTGCATGGATTCCCTCTCTCTCTTCTCATGCTTAACTGGAAATGTGTTTCATATTCTTTCCCTAACCCCTCCCTTCCCATGAGAGATCTGCATGAAAGTTTTCCATTTGTTTTTGATGGATGAGGTGAGGCTCTGGGAAGGATGTTCTTCTGCCTTTCTACATATATATTCCATTTTACCTGTTGCAACAGTTTTTGTTGCTTCTCATGGTTGACTTCAAACCCAAAGCTGTCAATCTTGCTTCTTTTGATTTTGCTTCCTGCACTAACATAGTAACATGAAGCCATACAACCTTTTACTCCTTTAGATTATTGGTGCATTGGTGGAATTATTATTTTTATTTTCTTGATGAAATTATCTTTCTTCAGGCTCTCAGAGAACAACTGGTGCAACTGCTTTTTGAAACATTTAATGTCTCGGGATTTTATGCATCAGAGCAAGCAGTATTATCACTCTATGCTGTAGGACGTATTTCAGGGTGCACTGTTGATATTGGTCATGGGAAGATAGGTATGTCCACCTAATCATATGGTATGTCTTAAGATAGCTAGTTGTATGTGATGAGATCCTAAACTGATCTGTAAATTGGTGTTGATGATGCTTAATTGTATGATAACTCACAGTTCCTTGAAACATTACTAAGATTCAATGTGTGAATTTATGATTGTTGTAGATCAATTTTTAATTGGTACCACGTGAATATTTTCATTTATCAACAGACATAGCTCCAGTACTTGAAGGTGCAGTTCAGCAAATTGCTTCAAGAAGATTTGAAATTGGAGGTATTGATTTGACAAAGTTACTTGCACAGGAACTGGGTAAATCTAATCCTCAGGTAAACCTCAACTTCACTGATGTTGAGAAATTAAAAGAGCAATACTCATGTTGTGCGGAAGATGAGGTTGCTTATGAGAGAACCCAAGAGTCAAATGAGACAGAGGAGCATACCTTGCCTGATGGACAGGTTTGTTACTCTTCTGTTTTGCTTTTATCCATTTTCAATTTAAATGTGACATGCTAATAAGGAGGATTTATCTGTACCTGGTTTGTAATGAATTGGTAGTCTTCAATATTTTGAGTTTCTGATTGTAAGGCTTTTCAAATGCAATTTTTAGGTGATAAAAATTGGAAGAGAAAGATATACTGTGGGTGAGGCATTGTTCCAACCTTCTATTTTGGGTTTAGAGGCACACGGAATTGTTGAGCAGCTTGTTCGTACTATTTCAACAGTTTCTTCTGAGAACCAGAGGCAACTTCTGGAAAATACTGTCCTTTGTGGAGGCACTACATCTATGACTGGTGAGAATTAGGATTTTTGAATATATAAAAAGACGTACTTTGCCAAATTTCTGATAGATAAAGACAACTGTCATAACAAGTATGTTACATAGGCATTCTCTTAACCATGAAATTAAGTTTTAGGGGAGGGGGTACTGATGTTGTTAGTTTGCAATTTGAGTTTACCTATTATTAATTTATAACCCTGACATGGTATCTTGGCTGCAGGTTTTGAAGATAGGTTTCAGAAGGAAGCAAGCTTATGCTCATCATCTATTCGTCCTTCCTTAGTAAAGGTAATCTATCTTTGCATTAGGGATATCAATCTTAGTTGCTTGTAATCCAGTCTCTATCAAAAATTTTGTCAGACTTTGTATTTGGTAGCACAAATCTCTTTCTAAATACTTTGTTCATCACAGCCTCCAGAATATATGCCAGAGAATTTAACAGTATATTCAGCATGGGTGGGTGGTGCAATACTTGCTAAAGTAGTGTTTCCTCAAAATCAGCACGTAACTAAGGCAGACTATGATGAAACTGGACCATCCGTTGTCCATCGGAAGTGTTTTTGACGAGCCTCATCTGAGTGAGTTGTTAGTTTTGTTCCCTGAATTCCTGTTTGTATCATGATAGGATGGTTATGGTAGTGAAAAAAAAAAAAATCCATTAATTCGTATATTTTAATTTAGAAAGCAGATTGCCCAATATTAATGTAGTTGACTAAATATCAGTTGATTTCAAGAATTGGTTTTGTGGCATTCTGGATGGCTTCAAGAATTTAAATATTCAAACTGAAGTCCTCATATTTCTGCTTCTTTTTCCCTGTTGTCATCCCTGTGTTGTATTCAAGTTCATACATTATATCCAAGTGTGTGACTGCTGTGTTTCTTCTTGATATTCCGAACTAACTCTCATGTTTATGTTAACTTGACAGATGTTGTGTGTTCTAAAACACACACTAAATACTTATACAAGAAATCCTATGCACTTTTTGAACATTTCTTGATGTGCTCTGTTTCCAACAAGGAATAATTTCTTTAATTTGTCTGTTTTCTTCTTCCTTTCATAATACTTCTACCATAAATTTGAATGAATTAAGATTGAGAATGCCCAGAATCAAGTAGGAGAAAAATGTCCCAAAGTGAGTACAGTGTGATGAAACTATGAGTGGTTAAAAGAGGCACTAAGAAACAAGTGTCAGTCTTGAAATGAAACCCCATTACATAGTCACAGTGAATTTGGCCCATGAAACGAAAGCAAGTGGACAAATCACTCTTTTCTTTGCATCCCAACACCAGTTAAAAGAAACAACCATCCATGTCTATGAACATTCACATCAACCCGTCCCAACTCTCTGTTTCATAGTTAATGGCAATAATAAGAGAAAAGAAAAGATACTTTGAAAGCATTTTTTGAAAGTTTCTCCTTTGTTTCATACATATCCTCATTAACAAATGGGTGATTAAACATTTGTCTTTTGTTTTATATTCAAGTTAAATCAGGAATCACCTTTTCCACATTACACTAGATATATTTTTCAGGTCTTAAATGATGGCTAGTTGTTTATGTTAAGATTAGAGAATTCATTGGAAAAAGTTAGGAGCAAACCTTCAGTCAACCAAGTAGGGAGTTGTCCTTTTCATTTTGATTGAAATGGTAGTAACAGTAAAACATATGATACACATAAAACCTTGATGGTTGATTAAATATCTAAGATGTTAGGGTTTCCCTACTTGTAGACTCCAATAATTGGTCCACTTCCCAACATTGTTTGGGAGCAACCTTTTCATGTACTGGTGCATACTCCTGCAATACCAGAACGAAAAAACAAAAATTATTCCTGTATCCTTGTACTGTCATCACTCATCCTCTCCAATAATTCAGTAACTGTTGCTAATATAGAATACAAATTTATAATGACTCGTACTAATGCCATAATGTAGGAGAATTCAGCATCTCTATGTATATGAAATACCTCCATCTTCCTGAGGAGCTCTGCCGCTGTATCTGCTATAACCACTATGTTTCTTTCAGAACCTTGTATGAAACCTTCCTCCACTCCTTTGTCAAATAAGGAAAGCAAACTGTTGTAATAGCCATCAACGTTCAACAATCCCACCTTTTATCAGATTCAAAAGAAGAGAAAAATGAATGAGAAAACCATAAAAAAGAAATAAGAAGAAAAAAAAGGTTTACTCCAAATAGACCCAATTAATTTTACTGGTTTATCATGAATTCCTAACTGAGCCCACGCTATTATCTCTAAAAGCTCTTCCATGGTTCCATAACCACCTGATCAAATAAAGAGGTAAAAATTTTAACTCATGGTTCATGAAGATATAGTGTTTTTATGTAATTCACCAATAAAATTGAAAGTACCAGGAAGTGCAATAAAAGCATCAGCATGTTTCGACATTTCTGACTTCATTTGGTGCATATCTTCAACTATTTTCACTTCTCCATTAGTTTCTGATATCTGCAAGTGAAGTTGCAGAATTTTTATGAATAATTTTGGGTTTTCTATCTCCCCATCAAGTTGCTAAGCAAGTAAAAAGAATGCAAGATGAGGGATAAACAGTACCTCATGGGACAGAAGAGCTTTAGGAATCACTCTACAGACACCCAGAAAGAAATAGGTAATTTTCCTCATGAGATCAGAAAAAGGAAAAAGTTATAAACAGAAATCTTGAAAGAAAATATACCCAAGAACATGGCAACCTCCATTGAAGACAGTCATAGAGATCAAACCTTTCAGTCCTATACTTCCTCCTCCATACACTAAATCAATCTTTTTCTCCACCTATCATCAAAAAACACATACACACATACACACATACACACTGACAAATCATAAATTTAGTGATACAGACACAGTATGAGTGAATGAACAGAATTGGTATCTTAATCTAGAGCAAGATATACCAGCTGTTTACCAAGCTCAAGAGCTGCATCACTGAATGAAGCCTTGTATCCAGCCCTGCTGCCACAAAATACACATATTCTTTTGAACTTTGGTTTCTGTTCATTTGTTCTGGATTCCATTATGAAATTCTAGAAAGAAAGGAGTGAAATTTGATATTGAGATTGGGAGAGAAAAAGAGAGAATATAATGAGAGACAATTTTTGAATGTTTATCACAAACGCATCCTTCTGTTTGGTTAAACAAGTACTTGATGGAGAAGAGTCCAACAGAACAAGAGCCCATCTCCTTCTCAACTTTTTACTTTTTCTTCTTTTCCTAAAAAACCTCGATAGAATCTAACCACTCCTGTTTCCTCTCCATTTTAAGCGACTTAGTTCCCACTACTACTGTAGATTCCACTTTCAATAATTTAGTTAGAATATCTAATGCATGTGTTCCTTTTCAATGAATCATCAATCAGAACTGTAAGACCAATTGTTTTTCATGTAAAACCTCTTTGGATCTTCATAATTGATAGGTTTGTCAATCTGCTTAAGATGATTAACTATGATGCCATTCCCTTTTTTTTCCTCTGTCTGCTTCATTCAGTAATTAGACATTTTAATAACAAACGAATCCAAACACATCTTTGCTTTAACATGTTCCTACATTATCAGAGTGTGGTGAAATCTTGTAGAAGCTCAATGAAGCAAAGGGGCAGCAAGTATGCCTTGAACCAAGAGGCATAGCCGAACAGGTCCCCCCACCCTCCCCCTCATCTCTTTGCTAGGCATGGCAGTGACATTTATTTCTTTCTTCCCCTAGTTGTCTTCCATGGTTTCTTTAATCTATTTAGAAAGTGGAAACTCTTTTTGTTTTCAGTCAGGATGATAATCTTCTCTGCCCATTTTTCTTCAATATGTCAAATTATATTTTTGGTAGCATATTTTCTTGTCCAATCCTACTAACTAGTAATTACCTTATTCCTAAACTGGAATGACATGAATAGGATATATGTATCTTTTAAAGACTTAAACGGACTGAAACCATACAACCTTGCGGTTGGAGTCTTGCTTTATTTTATTTTATTTTTTTGAACAATTTACAATTTTAAGGGACTAAGGGAAAGGGATTTTCAAAGACGTTGGTAAAGTTTGAAATTCCAATCAACTAATTCAAGTGTCTTAAGGTTTGATTTGGAGTCTCACTTTATATTAGTCATTGTTTTTTGTAATTTGTATTTTACGACAATTTATCAATCACTGAATTTTAGAGAATT